TTCATATATGAACTTGCAATATGTTCACTTTGATTAACCATTGTTCACGTTAAAATTAACATAATCATCCTAGAATCTTGAAATATAATAATAGGATTATGATCGAAAAAAACATGCAAGTATTAATTTGTAACATCTCATTAAATATCATAAAGTAACTTACATATAAAAAATTGTAATAATCTAATTAAATACCATGAAAGTTATTTACATATAAAAATTACCTATTTGCTCTTCATCATTAAATCAAACATTTGAAGTAACATCTACTAAAGAATGAATCTTATTAGTTCAATAGATTCACAAAGTTAATATCATATTCATGGTTAACAAAAGATCCTACCCCTTTCTCTCTCTCTCTCTCTCTCTCTATATATATATATATATATAGAGAGAGAGAGAGAGAGAGAAAGATCCATCCAGGTTGGTGAATATATGGTTCTATAAGTATCTCGTTTGTTTTCTGATTAAAGTGTTGCTCATAATTAATTAACTATAATCATCTTTCATAAATATCCTGATCATAATAAATGAACCTCATCATTTTCCATAAATATCTCAATTATTTGGTTTGTATGGTTGTTAATAAATAAGGGGTTTGCAAATAATTTGGACTATATATAGAGTTGGGTTCACGTGAGACCAACATGTTTTCGTGAGAACCGTAAGACCACTTTTTTTACATTTGAAACTTCACAGCAAAATGTTCTGAAAGTAAAAAGAAGTCAAATCTTCACAGCAAAAACACTGTGAAGGTTGATTACATTTACAACGTTTTGCTGTGAAGTTTCAAGTGCAAAAAAGTGGTCTCACGGGTCTTATGAAAACATGTTGGTCTTATGTGATCCCAAGTCTCTCTCTCTCTCTCTCTATATATATATATATATTTTATATATATATATGTATTATATATATATATATATATATATATATAGGGGCTCATTTAAGAGGGAACTGATTAGTTTGTGGTAACTGTGAGATCCAATCTCAACCACAAATCAACGGATAAATTAGGAAATTAATAATTATGGTAGTTTGAGTTAAAATWATAATTAGAGGGCATTTTAGGTATTTTTAAAAAAACTCATCTCTCCTCTCTTCTCTCTCCTCTCTCATCTCTCATCTCTCCAGCCTCCAATCTCCGGCCTCCGGTGAACAAAAATCCAGCAGGTATCAATTAATCACAAAGATACACAATGTGATACCCATTGTGATATATTGTGATACCATTTGAGTACCACTGTATATCACAATGGATATCACATTGTGTATCTTTGTGATTACTTGATACCTGCTGGATTTTTATTTTTGTTCACCAGAGATTGGAGATTGGAAAGATGAGAGATGAGAGAGGAGTTTTTTAAAAATTCCTAAAATGTCCTCTAATTATAATTTTAACTCAAACTACCATAATTATTAATTTCTTAATTTATCTGTTGTTTTATGGTTGAGATTGGATCTCACAGTTATCACAAACTAATCAGTTTTCATTTGATTAATCCCATATATATATATATATGGTGTAAAATTTAAATATATATTTTTTTGACTTTATGTTTTTATTTCTTTTTAGGTTTATGTATAGATTACTAAAAGAGATTAAACATCAAATAATGATAACAAATAATTTAAATGGAGAAAATTATTGAAATTGTTTTTGCAGCAAAACAACAAATTGATGTGTCAGATAATATGAAAACGTTGATAGATACTCGATTGATAAATCTACAAATCCAAAGACTCCCTCATTTGATTTTGTACTTTGCTAGAAAGAAAATGTTGAAAGTTATGGCATTTCACTACAACAACATTAGGTTTATAGGACACCTAAAAATTTTAACCGTAGATACTTTATAGGGACTTAACAAGCTTTTCGGATGTAACTCAAAAAATGTTACAATATGTATATAGAACGTTTTGAGTGTCTTAACAAGCTTTTCGGATGTTTTTAAAATATGATGTCGTAATAGTTATTTTATATGCCACTATTTGAAAAAAATGTCATATAAACGCAAATGTTATATAAATAGATGAGTTTATAGGACACATTTTAATATTATTTTATAAAATAAATAATATGACGCTTTATATAAAAATATTCTAAAAACTTGTTGAAACGTTCAAAAGTGTCCTATAAATTAACATATTGTAACACTTTTAGATATGACGCTTTATAGTTTAGTTATATAAATTTAAGTCTTATAAAGTATCTTACTCATCAAATTTATGTAACTACTAACCCATCATTCTGCCCCAACACTGGGTTGGAATATTGGATTGAGATTTTTTCAAACCATTGTAATTGGGTTAGGTTATAAAAATGACGTAAACCACCCAAGCCAGCCCATGTACACGGTAGTTTTCATTGTAAAATTATTTATTTTTGCATTAGTATCGAATTTATAAATAAATAGTATCACCTAGTAATTAAACCATATTTAGGTATAATAAATAGTATCTCATGCATAATCACAAGGGTGGTGTCTGATTGGTTTGAGCTTGACTCCAAAGGTCAAAAGTATCAGGAGGTCTCAGGTTCAAATCCAAGGAGGAATAAAAATTCCATTGTGGCCATGGAGATTCAAATGCGGTGACTTCGTGCTATCTGCAAAACAGGTGGTCACTCTGGAATTAGTCGGCTCGCATAGCGGGTTAAATATCCAGGTTAATAAAAAATATATATCTCATGCAAATAATTAATCGTAATATACGTATTTCACTTTATATTATTGTGATTTTTAGTAAAACAGAATAATCGAAATGGTTAAAAAAATTCAGTGTGTAGAGTTAGAGAGAAACAAAATCATCGCAAAATTTAAATAGAAAAACAAATAACATTGATGAAATTGTATCTTCTTGAATTGCTTTGATTTACGGGTTTTACGCACATATAGAGTCCGACCCATAAAAAAATTTCAAGCAAAAGTATAAAATAAATAATAATTCTAAAAAGTTTCATTAAAAAATGATATACAAGTGCCATTTGTAATGACACTACTGGTAAACAATTATTCTGAGAAATCTCATCCGTTACAAGAATTATTTTGAGAAATCTCATTTGTTACAAGAAACATATCCGGCTCACTATCTTTAACATATTTCGATGTTGTTTGTTAACATGTATTAAAATGTTAACTATGTTAATTAAGATTTTCGTGGTTTCTGTGTGTAATGTGTTACTTTGAGTTAAGTGTGTTAAAATTGCATTTAGATCAAGGGCGGAAATATAAAATTTATCTATGGGGTGCATAGAAACAATGTAAGAAAATTCACGAGAAAACCCTTTCAAGTATGTATGTATGTGTGTGTATATATGTATATATATATATATATATATATAGAGAGAGAGAGAGAGAGAGAGAGAGAGAGTAGCAATCAAAGGCAAAACACTATTATCCGTCGATTTCATTATTAATTAATCTTATGAAATTTTTTCATAAAATTGTTTAATCTTGTGAAATTGTTTCATATAATATTTTTTTGATAAAGTTGTTGTTTCATATATGGTTATGAAATTGTTTCATATAATACTTAATGAAATTGTTTCATGTATTTTTATAAAATTAAAATAATGAAGATGATAATATCCACGATTAACACTCTCAACAATAAAAATGATTAATTAATCTCTCATAATTACAAAAAAATAAACAAAATGAAAATTATGATTTATTGATTGAAGTTTGTACGATTTATACAAATAACATGATTTACAATGTAAACTTTTTCTCATAGTGTGTTTTAATAAATGTTTAGTTTTATACCATGTTAAGGTATATTAAGATTAAGGTGCTCTTTGTTTTTCAAAAAAAAGCACTTAATTGCCTCTTATGTCTGAATCGGTCAGACATTGAGGGATTAAGTGCGTTTGTTTTTTTTTTTAAATTAAGTGCTTAAAACATTTGATTTCATCTGAATTATTTAGAGGTAAAATGCAGTCTGAAAACCTCTTAATCGTGTCGCCTCAAGCTCTCGCCTACCCTCCGCCATGTTCCTCTCCCTCTCCTCCCCGCTCCCCTCCTCCACCACCTCCATTTCTCTCCCTAAACCCCACCTCCACCCGCCACCACTCCGGCACCACCTCCCACCCTTTCTCCACTCCGGTGTCGGTATCGTCGATCGATCACCGTCTCCGGTTCCTAAAGCATCGGATGCACTGCCTCCTCCTTCATCTACCTCCTAGGGTTTTTCGGCATCGATTTCGTTCAATCCTTCGGAATCGAAGCTTGGGGACTGCCTTAGGGCTGCTTCGATTCGACGGCAGGCGTTGGAGAGGACGACGGGGAGGTCGTTGTTAGGGTTGCCATTGGAAAGATTCGATTACGAGTCAATTTTAGGGCAGTGTTGCGAGATGCCTAATGTTTTTCCATCTCCATCTTCAGAATTCCAAACCATTTATGGGTATTTAAACCAACCAAGCGTAAACAGGGGCTTTCAGTTCCTTAGCAGCTAGGGTTCTTCAATCTTCCCTTTTCCTTCATTGGAAATGGAAAAACATTAGACATTGGAAACGATCATAATCAAGTTCATGATGTTAACAGTGATTCCACTTCTGATTTCCATTGTGAGCTTGGATCGTTTGAACACCAATTTCGTTTAAATGATTGGATATTTCAGTTAAATTTAATTGAAATGAATTGATTCAGATTTCAGACGTAAAAACAAACAGTCTGACTGATTCAGATTTCAGACTTCAGCACCACCTCTTAAAATTCAGAAATGAATTCAGACTTCAGACTTCAGCACCTCTTAAAAAACAAACACCACCTAAATTTTTGAAAGGGGTTAAGCTCGGTACAACAATGCAATCGAAATTCAAAATTATTAACGAAGTTTCTCGTTCGATCATAATCAAGAAAAAAGTCAACTCTCTCGTGGACAATGACGTTACAATTGACGTCATCATCTCCTCCCTCACTTCTGTGTGTTATATTATGCATAGTGTGCGCCATAAAACCGAACTAACCTCCCTCTCTCCATCGATCGCATCTACACCACACGATATGTACGGACACAACCACAACAGTTTCCGGCCACACTTCTCAGACCTACCACCGTCCTATAGACCTGCCAATTACTCAACGTCACCACCGCCGTTCGCTTTGGACTCCACCACCAGCGACGGTCGTTGTTATGACTCGCCTGGATATACCGGCAGCCAGAGCGATTGCATTGATACTCCGATCAACAATAACGGATTGTTGTTCCAAATCGTTTCATCTCCGGCCGAGTTATTTGACTCCGATGGGAGCAGTTCCTCCGTCACCAAGGGTTTTTGCGCCGGAGATCTGGAGGTTCGTCCCCTTCTTTCAATACTATATATGAAAATAAATAAATAAATAAATAATTAGAATTGATAATATTCGTCCCCTTTCTCCATCATGATTCTAATTGTTGGTAAATGGTAACTCCTAAACCATGTTAATAATACGTTTAATCTTGTTCGTTGGTTTGTTCGATCACTAATCTTTATTTTTTTATGTGTGAGTTTGGTCATGTTTTTGATCGCTTACTTTTAAATTAAAAAAAACTATTACTATTTTTAATATATTAGAAGGGTGTTTGTGTAATATTTCATTTTATTTTTTATCTCGGTCGATGTTATAGTATAGTCTTATATGATTTTGAAAAAGCGATGACGTTTTTTATTTTTAAATAAAATATAAATTTGAAGACTTCATGAAAATTTGACAAAAATATATATTGATATTAGTGTTAAATTAACTATTTAAAATTCTTATTTTTTATGTAATTTTTTAATTCAATTTTTTTATTATAATTTAATTTAGATTCAATAACGAAGTAATTTATATTTGATTTA